TTAAAGCCAATTACAGATAGATGAGAAAAAGCAAGGACATTTATTTGATTCTCTAGTGACCCCCCCTAAATTTAAAGTACATTCTTTAAACTTTGAACTTCAAAATACATATGCTTTATACTGGAATAAATTAAATTTTTGATGTATGATCAAATTTTATATATTTCAATACAAAGCTTTCTCATTTCGATGAGTTTTATGAAATTTTTTTCTTACTCAATCTTAAGTTTTTGAGTATCGTTTGCTTGTTAAAAATTTTGAATTTGGAAATCGAAACCTTATACAACCGGCGCATTTTCAATAAAATAAGTGCTTTCTTGTTTTAACAATTACCAATGTATGTTTTAATCTTGTAATGGCTTTATTATGCTCTTAAAACTTAGTTCAAATTAGTATCAACTTTTATGTCTCGCCTTCAGAGGGGAAATATAATTATATTGCTTTGGTCAATTTTCAACCATATCTTTTCCAGAGCGCAGCTTGAGAAGTCTTTGACATTAAGACTTCAAACTTAGAACAGGGAGAGGTGGTATGGAGGAAGGGTGCCTACCATCAATATTTTTAACGTTGAGATAGTATATAAAATCCTGGTCCAAGGTTCATGAAACATCTTAAGCTAATGTCACAAGTTTATGTTGTACTAAAATGTTGGATAAGCAGACAAAATTATGAGGAATTTAGAGATATATGAATTCAATAATTAAAAAGACATATTAAAGCTACTGAAAGTCTATGATCCTGGGCCACATGAATGCAATCTTTAACATCAAACTATTTTCACGGCCATTAGATATCAAAATTTGAAACTAAAAGGAGGACATTAAGATAAAACGCACCACACAAAAATGTGTGACCTTGATCCATATCTTTGTTTAATGTCAAGTTAAGGAAAAATATATACGTACCATAAAACAAGAATCCCTTGACATACAAGGGTCGTTCAATAAGTAATGCAATACTCAGTATATCATAGTAAATGTTGAGGCATTTGATTTTTTTCATATTTGAAAAGTTCTATTTAAGATCTACTAAACACAGAAAAACCCACTCCTTTTCATAGTGTCTTCGCAAAGAAATTCATTTTTAAAGTAAGCATGGTCACTACACTGAGCTGAAAACTGTTTATAAATGATCTCCGCCAAGAAGATGAAAATAAATGCGTATTTGAAAACTGCGCTTTTTACATAAATCGCCGCAAACCTCATATTTAAGATAAAATTTTTATAAGTGGAAAAATTAATCTTTAAGGCTGTATACTTTTCAGACGGATTCAATAATTCAGAAGAAAAAAAAACAAGGATTCAAATATAACAGTCAATATGGTCAATTGAAATTTGTGGGGACATCACAAAATATCGACTTTATGTGCCACATGTAATTTGAAAATGCTATGTCTACATGGAAAGACATTGTTAAAATACTTCACATTAAATCGTCACAGCATTTTGTTGAATTCGGACAAAGGAACAACATATAACAATATTTCAATTAGATAGGTGTCCTATTTTCTCACAAATGTCCAAGAGAGAACATTCGTTAAATGTGCATACGGTTTACTTAAAAACATATTTTTAAACAAAATTGAAGAATTGATAAACTTGCTTAATGTATGACGAAACATTGGTGCTCTTATTATAGTCGTAGAATATGATTAATGATAAAAAATGAAGAATCAAAGAAAAGCATAATTAGGAAAAAGAGAAGTAATGGCTGAAAATATGTTTTATTAGTTTTCATTTAAATATTTTAAGAGGTCCATTAAAACATGAACATGCATCCAAATGAAGGACTAGCAATAGAAAGTTTTATCTTCAAATCGCATAAAGGAAAGTTGAACAGATATTTTGCAAAGGAAGTCCAAAATTCGTTGACCATGGTATTTTTCCTGTGCTTAACAACGCAGCTGGATATACTCTTAGAGAAAAAATAAAGTTTAGAAGAAAAGAAAGTATACAGGAGTTTTCAATGACCCATATTAGTTTAATCGCAGCCACTGTGAGTTCTTTTCGTCCCCAAAACACATGAAAACAATCAAAGAAAGATTTTACAATGTCAGATATGCCATGGGAAATGATATTTCTCAGTGCCTTTGGGGTATCCTTAAAGATAAGTATGCTGAGGATTTTTGTTCATGGATTCAAAGACTTAAGACACATGTAACTGATAACAGGGAATGCCTTGGGGGATTGAAACTATTAAGAATATGTATTACGTACTTTTCTTACTTTTAGATGACATGTTGCATTATTTATTGAATGACCCTCGTATAAACTTGGAACATAGAAACGTGGTATGAGGCTTTGCGAATTTTCGACCTTGACCTAATTGTGTAGTCAAGATCAATTTATAACAGCTAAAAGGAAGACAAGTTCATAACCTGAGAATCCTTTGAAATTAAAATTTCTTACTTCGAACATAGAGGAATGTCATTTATACAAAATCCATGAAATTATTTGACCTTGCCTAATTTCTTTGCTCAAGATCAAGTTCGTCCAGACCTTTTAACATAAACAAAACTCTTAGCTTTAATCATAGAGATATGGCAAAAGACGCATGCCATTAAACTGCTGACCTTGACCTATTATTAATGTAGTCAAGGTCAATTTTATACATCACAATAAAGTCCATGTCAGAACCCGCCAATCCTTTGTCATAAGACTTTAAGCACGAAACACAGAAAGGCAAAATTTAGACAGATGCAATGTACCAAAATACTTTATGTTAAAACCTTATTGGCAGACCAAGGCAACATAGCAGCTCAGTTTGTTTCCAAAAATCAAAACAGAAGAGATGTTAAGTGTAAAGAATTTGTCATTTATTTAAATGACGAGAAAATGAAATCCATAAAACAATTATAAAAGAATTTGGCTTGGAGACATACATGTACCAGAATCATGGAAAGTTTGACTAGAAATGCAGTTCAATAAATGATTAAAAAACAGTGGTCTCCCAGCCACCATATTGTTACAACACAGAGATGTGATAATGTGGTAAAATACAACATCAAACTTTATTGGAAACAAAAGTGGTGCATAAAAAGCGCCATCAACCCAAAGGGTTGAAGCACCACTCAAAATGTTGCCTTGGTAACCCTTTAATATGATAAACGTGTTAAATTTGTACAGACATAGTTGATACTAAGATAATGAAACATGGTACATATAACCAATATACTATTTACAATAAAAGGATCTAGGGGGAAAAGCAAATGAAGGACTTCACTGCCCCAACCTATGATAGTCTTAATAGACATATGTTACTACATATTTATCATGGCCTTCAAGTACATAAAACCAGTAAACATTTGTGAAAAACGATTGGGCAGACAAATTGTGAATCCTTTGAAATTAGACTTAATACATGTACAAACATTACAGGCCAAAAAAATCAGGGGAATTTATGAATGTAGATGGAATGGATGGATGACCTCTAAGCCGCATAAGATTTAAGATGAAAACTATGTACAAAAACAAAAATGTATACAAATCTACCCCTATTGCAGATACCTAAATTTTAAGGGCATAGCTAATAGGCACACAAAATCTGACTTTGTCAGAAATATACAATGCAGAAAAAAAAAGATAACAGGCAGACAAATTCTGACCCTGTTAAAATTAAAACAATAGTATACTATATGGTAACAGGCAGACAAATTCTGACCCTGTTAAAATCAAAACAATACTATATGGTAATAGGCAGACAACTTCTGACCCTGTTAAAATTCATACAATACTGACAAAATAACAGGCAGACAAATTCTGACCCTGTTAAAACTTAATACAATAAATCCACTGTTAACAGGCAGACAAATTCTGAACCTGCTAATTCAAATGTCACTTAACTCTGGCTAGACAATAAATGTAAAATTTGGTGAGTCAGCAGTCATTGAAAAATTTGACAGAAAGGTGGGTTTTAATTGTGTAGGGAATTAATGCGAATGTATTTTTGAACGGCATCTGATTTCCATCTGCCAAGCTTTTGGATTTGAGTTTGAGAGAGACCTCTTTTTGCTGCTTCAGTGGCTGCACCGATTCGAAAACTGTGGCCTTTATAAACATTTGAATTAAGACCTATGAAAGATACTGTCTTTTGGAGATTATTTGTAACAAAGTAATGAGTTACTGCAGAACCTGAGTGGAACTGAAACAACGGTCCCGATGAGTGCTTGTGATAGGACAGATACATTTGAAGGGACTGTACTGGACATATCTCTTGAGGGGTTGCCTTGGAAAGATATATGGTAATGGGGCGTGCAGTTTTCATTGTCTTTGAATATCTTAAAATGATTTCAACTTTTGAATTGCCCTGTATACTGATGTCTTGTCTGTGAATAATGCAAGATTAATGTGATGGTGTTTTTGCAATCAATTCACCTAATCTAAAAAACCCATGAAATGCTACGGTGAAAATGCAATGAAGAAGAATTCTGTGATAAAAATTGGGAACTGTAAAAGACAAAGCATTTACTAGTTTAACTAGGATTAAAATTGTAATCGGGAGTCTGTAATCTGGCGTTCTTGCAATCTTGCTTGCACCGTGAAGAATTTTTCGTACTAAGAAATTTTGGGAATGATCAGGTAAATTCAAGACTTTGTGAACAAAACTAATAGCAGATACCATTGATGTTATGGAAGAAGGACTGTAGTTCTGTTCGAAAAGATGTGCAATAAAATTACAGAGGGTTATTACAGATACAGGTAATTCTTTGTTTAAATTCTTCTGATCACAAAACTGAAGGAAAAGGAACCAGCTGTGCTTGTAGGAAGTCTTAGTTGACAAAGCCAAGGAGGAATGCAGCAGCGAAATAGCAGTGGTGCTTAGATGTGGAGGAGGTGAGGTGGGATTTGCACTGGTTGTCTGTTGAGCCATGGTGCCAGGGTAAAGGTTTCACGAAATTCAAGGCGAGACAATTTGTCAGCTATAACGTTTTGATTACCTGGGACATGTTTGGCTTTAAAGAGAATGTTATTCTGTAAGCAAATAAGCACTAGACGCCTGACTTACTTCATAACAGTCTTGTCTTTGCTTGAAGTTTTGTTGATAATGGCAACCACTGCTTCGTTGTCAGTAAGAAACAAAATCTTATGGTTTTGAAAATGGGAACCCCACATCTCCATAGCCAGTACAATTGGAAAAAGTTCTAAGATTGTAATGTGCAATTGTTTGAATTCATCAGGCCATCTGGCTGCAAACCAAACTGCTCCTAAAATGGCAGCAAAACCTTGTGTAGATGCAGCATCTACAGTGTAAAGGGTGAGGTGGTCAGAAGAGGACCAAACGTCATTGAGAAAAACTGACTTGCCGTTAAAGTGTGAAATGAACTGCAACCAGCATTGTATATCAGCTCGGGCTTCACATGTAAGGCGTATAAAATGTCTAGGATTCGAGACTTTACAGGACATGTCAATAAGCCTACGCAAAAAAGCACGCCCTGGAGATATCACTGAGCAAGCAAAATTTAGCAACCCAATGAGGGATTGTAGTTCACGGAGAGTGATCTTTTTCCGCATGGAAAAACTGGATAACTGAGCTTCGATTTTTGATATTTTGTCATCTGGTAAACGACATTCCATAGCTATGGAATCCACCTCAATACCATATATGATGATGTTCGTGTTAGGGAGACAGGTTTTGTTGGGGTTTAAAGGGATTCCAATTTTGTCACAAAGGGATATAAAATTGTTCAAGTCTGTTAGGCAGCTATCGGATGCTGGGGGACCTATGAAGAAAAAATCATCAATCATATGGGACATACCTTTTGCTGAGAAATAATTGAGCATGATCCACTGTAATGCAGTGCTAAGCATTTCAAAAATTTTACAGGAACTACTTGCTCCCATAGGGAGGCATTTGTCATAGTAAAAGAAATTTTCCCATTTAAATCCCAGTAAATGGTAATCTTCCGGATGGATTGGGATATTGCGAAAACCATCTTCAATATCACATTTAGCCATTAGGGCTGCAGAGCCAAATTGTCTCACTAGTGAAATTATATTGTCTATGGAGTCATAAGAAACCTGACTATTCTCTGGAGGGATTTGTGAGTTAACCGAATTATTTTCCGGAAAGGAAAGGTCATGGATGAGACGAAATTGACCTTCCACTTTTTTAGGAACAACGCCTAGAGGAGAGGTTACCAAATTTTCAAATTGAGGAAAAGGGGAGGGTTCTGATATCCTGCCCAATTTTTGTTCTTTCAGAATTTTGTTAAGGACAACTTGAGGATGTTTGTTAGTGGATCCATGATTTGAAGACGATTGAGATGTAGGTGTACCTAAACAGCCTAATCTAAAACCAGTTGTGAAGCCTGATAAAATTAATTCTGAAAGGGAGGAATTGTATCCTTCCAACAAAGTTTTAAGAATTTCTGGTCTTACTGGGGTTGGGAGTTTTGGACGACAGTCTTTCGTCACTTGAGGGGAGTTTGGGGCATTTAACTCTTGGGTGTTGCTCTTTGCAGTACTGACAGATATGTCTGTAGGGACATGGGTCTGTTCTACATGTTTGACCCTGGTTATATGAGTAGCAGAACTTGGTCTTTTGGTTTGCATAGTTATTGAATCTATTTCTGGCAGGAAAGGGCTGGTTTGAGGGACGGAATTTACTAGGTTGGAGATTTGCTCTCAACACAAGCTCGGGTAGGGGTTGTTGCCAAGCCAAAGGGGAAGACTGACGCAATTTTCGAAAGTCTTCATCATAGTGGCGCCAGGAATCATTCCTGCTTGTGAAACACATTTCGCGAATCATATGTATGTATTTGAAGAGGTGGGCTGCATCTGAGGGTGTCTTTTGGACATATATAGATGAAAAAATCAGAAAGGCAGATGTCCATTGGTTAATAGAAATGGGAAATTTTTGAAATTTGCCTTGTTGGAAATTGATTGCCTCCCTTTCTACTGAGACTGAGAAATTATCTTCCTGTTGATTAGGAAGCAGCAATCTGAGGTCAAAATAAGTATTATCCCAAATTTTCTGTTTTAATCTGTTTGAAACAGTGGCCCCCAGAGGAATATTATTTGAAAAATTTAAAGGCTGGGGCGCATTGTTGACTGCTGACTCACCTCCAAATAAAGTGTTCAGGACTGCTGGAATGTTAAAATTGTCTGCGGGGTCAGCTGCTGATAGTGGGGAGGCCTCAATGGTTTCATGCGTTTCGGTGGCTGAGTTACTGTTTTCATTATGGATGTCGGCAGATACCAGGATTTGCGCAGTATGGTTGGGTAGTTGTTGCCGATTGGAATCTGTGCTGACTCGGTCATTGAGAGTGGAAGATGGGATGGAATTAGAGATATCCGAATTTACTGCCGATAAAGCTGGGGTGTCTAAAGTTCTTTGTTTTTTCAAAACGGCATCTGCAAGCAGATCATAATCAATAGCCATCTGGGTGGGTGGCACAGAGGTAGATGACCTCTTTCTTTGCTTGGAAGGCTGTGGAGCTGGGCCCTCAGGCTGTTTTGTTGGTGACTTTCTACGTTTAGGCGGCATTGTCTGAAAAGGAGAAATGTAGCCATAGAAAGACAAATGAATTAATTTTCACAAGCATAAAATAGATTAAATGTTGTACCCATTATAAGAAGGATTCTTTTAATTATTACTATTACTATTATTATTATATTTTCATAAGCATTTGCATTTTTTATTTTAAATTATATATATATATAAATCTTTTTCAAATGAAGGTACAACTTAAGACATAGATCAGCGAGTACAAACTCGCAAAGATGTAATAGCCAAGCAAGCACATACTTGCATAATTGAGCACAAACTCATCAGATAAAGTGAGCACAAACTCACAATGGAAGGCGAGCACAAACTCGCATAGATGTCATATCAAAGCAAGCACATACTTGCATAATTGAGCACAAACTCATCAGATAAAGTGAGCACAAACTCACAATGGAAGGCGAGCACAAACTCGCATAGATGTCATATCAAAGCAAGCACATACTTGCATAATTGAGCACAAACTCGTCAGATAAAGTGAGCACATACTCACAATTGAAGGCGAGCACAAACTCACATAGTTGTCATATCAAAGCAAGCACATACTTGCATAATTGAGCACAAACTCATCAGATAAAGTGAGCACATACTCACAATTGAAGGCGAGCACCAACTCGCAAAATTGATTATAGCAAAGCAAGCACATACATGCATAATTGAACATAAACTCAACAGATAAAGTGAGCACATACTCACTTGTAAGCTAAATGTGGCCATTGAATAACATAGTAAGGCCAGTACAAACTCGCATATTGTAATGGTGAATCAAGCATCAACTTGCATGAATCGAGTATAAACAAAACAATAAATACTGCCACAATAAAATCATAAAGGAAGCACTTAATACAAGCAAAAAATTGTTGAGGTGTTAGGCAATATATATAAATCATATGCTCCGACGACACAAAAAATTTAATTGTATTGAGATCATATCACAGTATCACAACAAATACATGTATGAGTAAGGGAAACTCTTAAGAAGGAATATTAAAATATTATTTATTTATTTATTTTTATGCATGAATTACATCTTAACTGTGAGGTTAGAGATCAAATTAGAGTGCAATATAAACAGGAAAAACCCCACCTAAATATTTCAAGAAAAATGCAGGATGGTAGGTTGCTTCCGGGTATATTTTCCATTGAGGTCTGCACAAATATGAACACCATCCACTGCCAAAAAGTCCATCGAAGCCAAAATCCTCGGTGTTACCAGAAGGAGATGTTCGGCAGACTGTCACTGGCTGATGCAAGCTCCTAGTTTGTATTTAAAACAATCGGGCGTTGAGGGTCCCGCCTGAGAATTTGGCCAATAATGACTTGTTTAAATCCGTAACCGTTGCGCATATGCAATAAAGTCTTTGACTAGCCTTGGAATTCTCGGAGTGCTGCAAGACAAGTCGCTTCCGCCAATCTGTATAAATGCTAGAACCAGTCTTACAGGAAATGCTATGAATTGTCGTTCGGAGCCGAGTCTTCTAATAATGAGGTCACCCCTGGCCAAAAGGACACTTGAAAATATCATTGTCGAGGCGTAAATTGAAACAATCGGGGTTGAAAATAATAAAGTCTCTGAGACATCTGAAGAGGGGTTCCTTCCGATCCGCCATTTTGTTCAAATGTCTTACAAGTAGGGAAGCGAAAGTCTTGATTATAAAATACTAAAATACTGACCTGCAAGGTGCACAGGTGTACAGATCGAAGTAATTGATCTTGCACAAAACGACTGCCGGGTACAGAAGCGATCAAATTGATGATTATTAGGAAACAATTGCTTTCTTGTCCACCAAAATTTTCTCGGCAGCACTCCGAGATACACAGAGAATAATATAAATAGAATGCCTTGCATGGCAATCTGATTGGCTGGGACAAAAAAGCGCTTTGGTAAAAATTAGATGAACCTGATAAAAATGGATAACAAAAAAAGGGGGGCTTTATATACATGATTTACAGATAAAAAGTATTGTAAAATTAACCAATCAATTAAACATATTCTGACAGCCACAAAAAATTACACATATGAAAATTTTAACATAAATTGCTTTATTTAAAAATAAACCTTATTTGATGTTGAACCTTTCCTTCATTCAAGGTGATCATGAAAAAACACAACCAAACCGTAAATCGAGAACATTTTGACATTATGTACAAGAAGATTTGAGATTCATAGAATTTCACTTTTCATCAGATAGTTTCATTGTGAGAAGCTGGAAAACAAGGGCTATTCGAGACACTGCATGTAAAATGAATGGTAAAGAATCAGTAAACTAGAGTAAAATTAAACACTTCATTCGAGCTGCTGTAAAACTTGTTAAGAATCCCAGAGAAATATTCACTGAAATATGTAACACTTACGGCCACCAATGTCTGTTTTATAGACAAATGAGCAGGTAAATTTCAATGATAAAAAATTATATAATGGGCATCAAAAACGGGTACCGTCCTTGCCAACAAAATTATAACAACTAATGTATTGTTTGTCAAATTTCATCAAATAATCACTGATGATGTATGAGCAAATTTGATAGACATCAATTCGGGAGTAGTTCACACTGTTTTAAAGAAACGTTTGACAGTAAAAAAAAACCTTAGTACTCAAAGGTCACCCTATGTTTTGAAAAATGAGTGAAAACAACAGCGGGTATAAATATCTTAACAATTATTTTAAAAAATCAAAAATTTTAGTTATCCAAGTTTGTTTGAAATCCAAACAGATAATGAAACTTGAATCTATTGCTTAAAACCCTCGAAACAAAATTTACAATAAGATGTACTTGACAAAAAACAGCAAAGGTCTGAGAAGAGCAAAGAATTGCATGAGCACAAAGACAGATTTATATGCAATTTGCAATATTAGTGGTCTTGTTGTTCAAATTCGTATTCGGGGAGGCAGTTTAATTTCTGAAAGAGTCTAGAAAGCAACTTTTTTGCAAAAAAAATTGTCCCACAGTGGGATACTAACCAGCTACGTTAGGATTACCTCCTTACTACGCGACTCTAGAGCAGACGCTATAACCACTGCACCACGCAGTCGACGAGTAAAGATATTTTTAAAGATTGCACGAATTTTTAAGGTGTAAGCTCACTCCTCAGGCCCTGGGGGAAGACTTTCCCAATTTTTACTCCCCGTCACCCATAGATGCTTCATGTATATGCCAAATTTGGCTGAAATTGTTTCGTTTGTTCCAGCGAAGAAGCTGAAATTGTTCAACAGTTTACGAACGACGACGGACAACACAGATAGCAATATATGACTCGGGTGACCTAAAAAAGATGGGCGACTAAGATTGCATGATTATGTGTATGTTGGTTTACGTCCCATTCGAGAAGTTTCCTCTGATGTATATAAACCGGTGAAGGGCCTCAAATTTTGACCTTTACTCGTCACTCAGAATCATTGAGTAGTGAGGGATCTTTATCGCACCAACGCCTGCCCTGACACGGGACCTCGCGATCAAGGAGCGAGCGCTCTACCGACTGAGCAATCGTGAACGGTGGGCTACTACGAGAGCTACAATATAGAATCCGGATATAGCCATCGCATCATCATACCATCGGCGTAGGGCTGATAGTGAGATGACACGATGATGTTGAAATGATGGTGCAATGACGATAAAGCGATATCACGAAAATAATGACAATACAATGGTGATGAGACGGTAAATTAAATGAATAGCGCAATGATGTGACAGTAAGATAAAAATGAAGCGGTATAGTGAAAGGACAGTGCAATGGTACTATCATACCAACGTGTGGGTCGCCCGCGTGAAGTAGAGGTAAGAACGTCTGCTCTAAAGTCGCAGTGGGTGCTGGCACGAAAAAGATCCGTCCTTGCTCAATGGCCCTCAGTGCCGAGTACAGGACAAAATTTGCAGCTCTCCGCCGGCAAGTGGTGGCATCTCCATGTGAGTGAAAAATTCTTGAAAGGGACGTTAAACAGCATACAATCAATCAATCTTCTTTTCTCCCGGACATCAAACAGTCACTGTTGGAATGTTTGTAATAAGTTAAGCCTACCAAAATTGTGAAATTCATGTCCCTAGGGTCA